TAATGATTGGTTACGTTTTAGAGTTTGATGAAATATTGAATAATTAAGTAAAGGATCATTGTTCGCATATGCTTACAACTAGGTAGGTATTGATGTAATTGATTCGCGATCGAGTTGTATAATAATGTTATACGCTGCGTATTACACTTACATTGCATTGTATTATAGTGGTTACTTGTTAAACATATATATTGTCAATGAAGCTATGAGTCGTGACCTTGAAATAAAGTCCTGAAATAAAATTTAATTTATTATGTATTGATCGTAATTTAGAAATCATACATTTTGCGCCATTTATTGGGTATAGGCGTGGCAGTATAAAATTAATTGAGTGCTACACTTTTTTAACATAATATACTATTATTAGGCAAATAACAATTTAATTCAAAGTATTATGGTTTTTGTACCTAGATTTTATTAAACTAGTAATTKTATCATAGTAAATAATTTACATTATTAAATAAACATTTTATTGTGCATACAGCTAACTGAATAATGAGTATGATAATTATTAATTATACCATTATAATATGTAACTCAAATATTTCAACCATTTTATATTTTATGTAAAATAAAATTATTATATGGACTAGTTTTCTAACTAAATACAGTTTTAAATGTTTTAATAGCTCAAAAACTAATCGTTTAGGTTCCGATTTAGGTGCACCAAAATTGTAAAAAAATCTTATGCTTAAGGCTTAAAGCTTGATCGATAATTGGGATGGATTATTGGGAAAAAATAATATTAACGCTATAGTTAACAAAAGTTATTTATAATGAGAAAAGTAAGATATAATTTATTGTAAGTAATTCAATTGTTGATAAAACGATTGAATATTGTGTCAACCGATGGGTGGTTTCTATAGTTGAGAGACATTTGGATTGGTATTCAGCTATAAACTAAACGTGTCGCGTATGAAGAGTATGAATTCAAGATCACGTGATGGAGATTTCAGGACGATGTTAAAATCATCTCTGAAAACAGACGTTACTTGTTTGAGTACTTTTTTGCAACTCGTTTGCGCACAACACTCAGAACCCGATTACGCAAACAAWTTTTTATTACATGCCCTAAAATGACACAAACATCGTTTTGGAAATCGTTTTCGTACAAGTATAGCAAAGTCTAGCAAAACAAAAACAAATAATTGACACGTGTACAAATTCTTTGTAAGATTATTTTTAAAAGTTTTTCTTTTTACTTTTGCAAGCTTAGAGCTGCCTGTTATTAACTGGCATGATTTGATTWAAATTTTTTTTTGTTAATACCTACTTATGTTATTATTTATACTATTCAT